AAAATATAGGGGGAGTGTTGATCCTAGTATGTGTGCCTTGCAGTCCAAAGCATATGTATAGAGTGCACACATCTAGGGGCGCATATCTATATTTTGTAGATGGTGGGTTTGCTTATGTTCATTTTTGTATCCTTATGTGCAAATCCCGTATTGTCATCAATCCACCAAAAAGGGGGAGATTGTAAGGGCATATTTCTCCCTATGTGGTTTTGGTGATTGATGACAATGCCTTTGCGGACTAATCATGTGCATTGAGCATTTCAGATATCTCATGTCTAGGCACGAGACGATTCGTTTCCCCTCAGAGCCTAAGTGAAGACGGCGTTTCTCTACGTTTCTTTTCGGTGGATTTGAGTCATAGGAAAGCCGTATTATTAAGAGGGGGTCCACGTCAGAAAGGTTAGGGTGGAATCAACACGTACACGTCTGTTCCTTTGCACTACCTTTCCTTTACTTCTTTGGAGCACCGACAGTTTATCCGTGTCTTTGCAAAATGAAGGACTCCGAGTGCTATTGTGTTGTGGCATGCGGTAGTATTGCTCAAGGGAGCAGTAGTACCGTAGTAGCCCACGGTAGTATCGGCCAGGGATGCGGTAGTACCGGCCAGGGATGCGGCAGGGATGCGGTAGTACCGTGGCCTCTAGCCCAGCGCAGTGACACGCGCGGTAGTAGGAGCAGAAGTAATTTTTTACATCCGCACCCTACGAAGTAGTACCGCTCCCTACATGCGGTAGTACCGTGTCGGATTTTTGCACAGATTGAAACACAGCGGAAGTAGCCACGGATGTAATTTTATTAGTTCGTGCCTTCCCAACCTAGACAAACCCTGCCTTGCGGTAGTACCACAAGGGCGCACGGTAGTACCACTCCGGCGGTTCTATCGCTCATTGCTTCAATGCAACAGGGACTCGTCTGGCTCCTGCCACGCACGCGGTAGTATTGTAGTGCCTTGCGGTACTACCGCATGGTTGTGTGCTAGTACCGCATGTCGCACGCTGAGTAAGTGGGTAACGGTTGGATTTTTCCTCTCACTATATAAGGGGGTCTTCTTCTCCAAGTTGACCATCTCTTCCATCCCTAAGCTCCATTGTTGCTCCAAACTCCATTTTCGCCCGATCTCTCTCCCTAGCCAATCAAACTTGTTGATTCTCTAGGGATTGGTTGAGAAGGCCCGAATCTACACTTCCACTAAGAGAAATCTAATTCCCCCCACTAATCCCTTGCTGATCTTGTTACTCTTGGGTGTTTGAGCACCCTAGACTATTGAGGTCACCGTAGAGCCATATTCCATCGTGGTGAAGCTTCGTGGTGTCGTTGGGAGCCTCCAATTAAGTTGTGGAGATTGCCCCAACCTTGTTTGTAAAGGTTCGCTCGCCGCCTCCAAGGGCACCAATAGTAAAATCACGGCATCTCGCATTGTGTGAGGGCGTGAGGAGAATACGATGGCCCTGGTGGCTTCTTAGGGAGCATTGTGCCTCCACACCGCTCCAACGGAGATGTACTTCCTCTCAAAGGGAAGGAACTTCGGTAACGCATCCTCGTCTCCACCGACTCCTCTCTTGGTTATCTCTCACATTTACTTGTGCAAGCTTATATTGTGTTATATCCTTGCTTGCTTGTGTGCTTGTTGTTGTTGCATCATATAGGTTGTTCACCTAGTTGCATATCTAAACAACCTACTTTGATGCAAAGTTTAATTTGGTAAAGAAAAGCTAAAAATTGTTAGTTGCCTATTCAACCCCCCTCTAGTCAATCATATCAATCCTTTCACTAGTGTTATATTTACTATCTACTATATTCCTCCAAAGAGACCCCTCCCCAACCATGTATCTTTTCACCCCAAGAACCCACTAAACAGATATTCATGTCCTGGAAATTAGGTATACTCATGCCTCCCTATTGTTTCTTCATATAGGTAGAAGGTCAGTTGGCTAGGTGAATCTTATAAGCACCTTCTCTATCACTCCATAGGCGGTTAGTCATGTAAGAGTTAAATTAACTCAAATCCCAATTAGGGAACTTAAAACATTAACAAAAACAAAGGAATACTAGCTAAGAGAGATCTAGTTAAGTATTTTTTTCTAAGTAAGGGAGGAGCTTTCCTCTCCAACCTACAATTCTAGCTAAAATTTTATCAATTAACATCCGAAGATCTTCCCTACTATATCAACATGTAAATTAATCCCTAAATACTTGATAGGGAATTCACCTACTACAAATTGAAAATGTCTTCAAAGGGATTCAACTCATTAGCCTCCATGTTAATGGGAACTAGAGCATTCTTTATGATAGTTAATCCTCATTGCTGAAACTTGTTCAAAACAAGTCAAAATCCATTTAAGGTTAAGACCTACCCTACTATCATTCTCTAGGAAAAGCAGGTTATCATTTGCATATTGGAGACACACAACCGCACCACTAACTAGATTAGGACATAACCTCCTAATCAACCATGCCTGAGAACCTTTGACCAACATCCTAGAGAAAACATTCACAACTTGATTAAAAAGGAGAGTGGATATGGGATCCCCTTGTCTCAAACCTTTTCCAATAAGGAAAACATCACTCTCCTCTCCATTCTAGTTTACTCCAACAGAGCCATTTTAGGTTAAACTTAGTCCAGCCCAACCATGTAGGCCCAAACCCTCTAAGGGGAAGCACCTCATAAAGGCTATGTCTTAAGCATTTTCATAATCAATATTAAAAACTAAAGCTTGTTGACTAGAAGAGTGTACATCACGTACAATCCCATGGGCAGTAACCACTCTCTCAAGTATGTACCTACCTCTAATAAAGCCATACTGGAATTCAGAGATCAGTTTACCTAATCACAGGTAATATATTTGAAAGAACTTTAGCAGAGATCTTAAACCAACAATTTAATAAACTAATGGGGCTGAACTTATTCATAGTCCTAGCCTCATTATCTTTAGGTATCAAGGTAATTGTGGCAAAGTTTAGTCTATCTATAGATCCAAATCCTCACTGTACCAAGCATTAAACATCCTAATTAATCCACCCTTAGCAACATGCCAATATACTTGCAAGAACATGAATGGAAGCCCATCAGGGCCAGGGCCCCATCTGAGTAAGAACCCAAAATAATAGCCTTCATCTCCTCTTCAGAGAATTTGGCTTCTAACATTATATTTTCTTCCTTAGTAACTTTCTCATAATCCCTATTAAAATCCTCTCTAAGATTAATATTAGGTGTAGGCTCCCATCTAAAGAAATATTTGTAATAGTCTACAACAATCTTCTGCATTCCTATGTTATCCAGGACCATCTACACCATCGAAAACATGTATAAGCAACTGCAGTATTTCTACCCCCCCCCCATCATTAGAGAGTTCTTCAGATTCAACCTTAATATCTAAACTATCATAAGCTCATTCTTATTTTTCCTAAGGAAAGCTTATATATTCCCACTCCACCCTTTAGCCAACCTCCTAAAGGTCCTACCTTATGTTGGCAAACATCAACAAGGTTATTTCAAGTGGGCATGCCCCTCCAATCATGTATTTTTCCTATTCCCGAGTTACAAGAATCCTGCGAATCAAAGAGGGCTTAGAGTAATAGAATCCATAGAATTTTTCTTATGTCGGTTTAATTCATAGATTGAATCATATAGAATTTTCTCCTAAGAAAAATCTGTTTCATAGGAATTTTTTCATCCACTCAAATCTCATGCCAATAATTATTTGTTTTTGGTGCAATCAACCACACTTTGGTGGGAACAAAATCTTGTAGCATCCTGCATATCTTTTGTTCCTAAGTTTTTGCAATTTCGTGAATCAAAGTGGGCTCTAGAAGGTTCTTCCAACTCCTCCATACTTGAAAAGAACTATCAAAATAATAATTTTTTTGGAATTTTAACACATTACCTGAAGTTTCCTCTATCCCTACAAATTATAGAGTCCTGTAAAAACACCCACTTAGACTTTATATTTCGAGGTAGAGGGGCA